AGTGACCTGGCCAACTGATTGGAAGAGATCAGTATTTGTGGCCATTCCAAAGAGAGCTGACCCAACAGAATGCGGAAATCATCGGACAATATCTTTAATATTGCATGCAAGTAAATTTCTGCTAAAGATAATTTCAAAACAACAGTACATTGACAGGGTACTGCCAGAGGTTCAAGCCAGTTTTCGAAGAGGGCATAGAATGAGGGAAATCACTGCTGATGTCAGATGGATATTGGCTGAAAGCACAGAATATCAGAAAGATGTTTACCTGTGCTTTATTGACTATGCAAAGGCTTTTTGATTGTGTGGATCATGACAAGCTGTGGACAACACTGTGGAGAGTGAGTATTCATGAACACTTAATTGTGCTGATGAGGAACCTGTACATAGACCAAGAGGCAGTCATTCGAACAGAATAAGGGGACATTGAATGGCTTAAAATCAGGAAAGGTTTGTGCCAGGGTTGTGTTTTTTCACCATACTTATTCAGTCTGTATGCTGAATAAGTAATCTGAGAAGCTGGGTTATATGAAGAACATGTATCAGGACTGGAGGAATACTTATTAACAATCTTCAATATGCAGATGATACAACTGAAAGCACAGAGGTCTTAAAGTACTTACTGATGAAGATTAAAGACCACAGCCTTTGGTAGAGGTTTCACCTCAATGTAAAGAAAATCAAAATCCTACACCAATAAATAACATCAAGATAAATGGAGAAAAGACCTCTTTTAAGAGCTCCAGTGCAAAGATGTCACCTTGAGGACTAAAGTGTGCCTGATCCAAACCATGGTGTTTTCAATAGCTTCACACGCATGTGGAGTTCTGGTGTTGTTGCAGACCGTGTAAGACTAGTCAGAGGTTCGAGGCCCTCTAGGGCTGAGTGTAACAAATGAGGCCACTGGCAGTTAATGGAAAATTGCTTTCATCTTAATATTCAGGTATATATATTAAATTAATACACTGGAGCCTTTGAAAATCCACAGATAAATGTGATATTTTCCTAAAGC